GGCGGTGCTGGAAATGCATTCCTAAAATGTGTTGACAGATAGTGCCTAAGCCCAATCTGTCGTAGACAAAAGAAGGTGGTTTTACGGACTTGACTATCTCCAAAGTAAATTAAGCAAGGTGAGACCAAAGACAGTGAAAGCATGTTTACAAGCAAGGTAAACAAAGCCATCAGGGGAGCAAGTGGGGGAATATGACCACTAATTTAAATAATATAGATTCTCTCCAAATAAATTGTCTGAACTCTAGAGCACAGACAGGTTGAAGTTTCATTTAAGACTTCAGTTTCAGATATACAGTTTTAAAAATTTAAACATTATGTGATATTTAGGGATGAACTTAGACAAAATTGGGAAATTCAGCTAGGTGTTTAAACTTTTGGATAGGTGTTCTATGGAGTGAGGGGCTTGAGTTAAAGTTAATGGGTTGTTGGAGGGGATTGGAAATATTACAGAGTTTGTAATCTTGATCCATTGCCACTTGCCACAGTTTCTCAGAAACAAGTAAATGAAATCCTTGGCCATACTGTATTAGTAGCCACAAGGGGCACATGGGCTGCCTTCAGAGTGGGCAACTGGCAGAAGAAAAGAGTGGTCGTGCAAACTGCAAAAAACAGCTCAGTTTTCTCAAGTTCCTATGTACAAAAAATGTGTGCTTCTGATCCAACGCTCTCTGGCACCAGCCACCTCCCCAACTGTCTGAGGGGAGTGTCCAAATAACTGTGGCATTGCAGTGTTTACTTTGATTTTTAAGTGATATTAAACTAACCACTTTTTAGATTCCTCTTGCTTATTTGGAGAAGGAACAGTCACTATCCTGGGACAACTAAAGGGCTTCCTATTTCTGAAGGGAACAATATCAGTTAAAAGAATATTGCTTCACAGGGAATTCTGGAAAATTTGCTCTTTAGTTCTGTGATGAATAAATAACTAGCATTAGCTGATTGTTGGATTCTGTCATGAGTTGCCATTTTTGTACAAAGAAAACTGCATAGTTTGAGTTGCTAATTCTGTGAAATCGTCGGTTCTAATTGTTCATATTTTTGCTCTATGGGTGGAATATCATGCACCAACCATTCTGTTTGCCAGTGGAGAGTAGATATTGGAACTTGAGAAAACTTGCTATGTAACAGGGGAAGACAATTGAAATAGAATTTCAAGAGTTGAAGTGCAGTATGATCTGATGGCAGGCTCCTCGGTTGCCTAAACTCTCAACCTGATGACTGAAATATATAGTTGAAATCTTATGGAAAATCAGGTACATTACACTCCTGTTAAAGCACAAGAGAGGAATTACCGCCAGTGCTACAGCTTGTTCTAACTTTCACTTGTTTAGTGTCTTCCACCCAAAGAACACAAAGCACTTTACAAACAATGAATTAGTTCTCATCATGCCTTTGTGAGGTAACATTGATCCCCTTTTATGGGTGGGGAAAAAAGATTTGTTGAAGGTTGCAGAGCAGATCTGTGAGGGCCAGGAATAGAACCTAGGTCTCCTGGCTCTCAGTACTCTTTCTTTAAGTTCTTTCCCATTCTTCATCCGTCAGAATGACGGAAATCAATTGGAACGCACAAGTACTTTAATTAGCACAGAGAGTTTGCAATTTAAGCATTGTGCTCCGAATATTCTAAATGTTAGTTGGTGTAACTGGAAGACTTCTAGAAGAAAATATGGCTGGTTTAGTTGGAAGACTTTATTAAGAAGACACACAGCAAGAACCACTATCAAATTAAAAAGACAGCTTGTATTGTCATGAAATATTTTCAGTCGTCTAAATAGAGAAAGAGAAAATATGGACGTTACAGTTGCCAACTTTCTAATCGCACAAAACTGAGCACTCTTGCCCTGCCCCACCTGTTACCTGAGGCCCTGCCCCGTCCTGCTCCTTCTTCGAGGCCGTGCCCCCGTTCACTCCATCCCCCCCTCACTTACTCACTCCCTCACTCTCCCCCACCCTCACTAACTTTCACTGGGCTGGGGCAGGTGGTTGGGATGCGGGAGGGGGGTGAGGGCTCCAGCTGGGGGTGCAGACTCTGGGGTGTGGCTGCGGATGAGGGGGTTGGAGTGCAGGAGGGGGCTTTGGGCTTGCGCCAAGGGGTTCAGCGTGCGGGAGGGGACTCAGGGCTGGGGCAAGGGATTGGGGTATGGGAGGGGGTGTGCGCTCCAGCTGGGGCCAGGGATGAGGGGTATGGGGTGCAGGAGAGGGCTCAGTGCTGGGACGGGGTTGGGATGCAGGCTCTGGGAGGGAGTTAGGGTCCAGGAGGGGGTTCTGACCTGGAGGGGGTTTGGGGTGCGGGCTCCAGCCGAACGCCCGGTCGAAAACCGGATGCGTGGCAACCCTAATGTACATGTTTAGCTGACTTAGTATATTGCTTTCCTGGAAAAAAACATTGTGGTTTGTAGGGGAGACACATGCTCCAAGACAACAAAACAAACGGGAACTTCCTGTAATTTGATCTACTGCTGCTTCAGTATTGGTTGTTTGTTGGTGGGAGTTAGCCCTTAGTTGCAACAGACTCGATTAACTTTCCAAGAAACTTGCTTCAAGATGCAAACAAATCTGTAATGCTTTCAATGTTCTGAGCTGGAGAAAAGAGCGCCTTGATTGCCTTTATGCATAGCTAAAGGAGGTGGCTAACATGAACACTTCCAAAAGGTTAATTGGCCTGCCTCTGTGTTGAACAAACATTAAAATACCTAGTTCATCTTAAATGTAACTTATTCTTGCAAGTGAATAGAAATTACGATCCTTTTAGAAAACAAACTCCAGGAATTAGAATGCGAATACTACTTGACAGTAATTTGATGTGTTCTGCGCTCTTATGTAAGCTTTCATTTTTCAGTCTTGTAGTTCATGATATCAGCTGAAATGTCTGGGGTCTTTGAGGAATAGCTTGACTGTATTTTGTTCTCAAACACAGGAATACAAATTTTCACCATTAAGCAATTCACCCCAAACTTGGTTTGGCTTTCAATGGTTAAAATGTGGTGTGTTTAGTAATTGGCAGTTTCAAAACAGCAATTATAAATTATTGTAATTAAAAAACATAAGTAGTTGAGTATCTTATTTTTTTCTCATTTGTGTAATGCCTGTAGAATTTAGAAGTCCGAACAAATAAGAGGTTATGTACTGTATTTTTTGATTGTCGCACTTAGGCAAGTCAGCTCCCTTGCTCTGGGTCTGATCCAGTGCTCATTGAAGTCACTGGGAAGGCTTCCACTGACTGCATTGGGCTTTGGATCCGGCTCTGACAAAGCACATCAAAGCACAATTTTTAAATACTTTTTTCTTGCTGAGAGTTCAGTGTACCATCAAATGTTTACCAGTTGTCTGTGAACACCTGACAAATCACTTCATAGTTTCATAGAAGTTCTTGGCAGTATGCTCAGATTCAAAATGTGTGAAGATTTTAATATAAGCACAGAAAAGTGACTAATTTCACAGCTGCTATTTTGCTGTATAGTGCCCCTTCTGACTTCCTTTGTCACTAGTATACGTACAGGCAAACTGTGTATAATTCTGCTTCCGAATGTGCTTTATCCTGTATGGTATGCTACGTCCCTCTCCTACTTCAAACACCTCAAAAACCACCTCTTCCAACTAATTTTCAAAAAAAACCCACCCCACTCTTATGTTAACTTGAGTTCCATTATATAGGGATTGAATGTATTGTCCTACTTAAGAAGAACCATAACTTTATTTTGTGTGTGCTTTTCTCCCTCTCACTTGTTACCTCCTCCTAGCGCCCTCTGACTCCTCATGCCTTCTGTCTACTGTTACCCAGTTAGAATGCAAACTCTGAGACAAGGTCTGAGTTTTGACTGTCTATAAATGCCATGGAACACATGTGGCGCTATAGCCATATGTGAGAAAATTGAAAATGAATCAATATAGAAATCTGAGTGCTGCAGCACACTGTTACCAATACATACAATTTGTGTTGGCTGTTGGTACAGATGAGCAGACTTTCTCTTAGGTTAAAAAAGAATCTTTCGTGCATAAAAAGTCCACGTTCTTATTTCCACACTAAAAAGCAGGAAAGGTTGCAGTCAGGCTTGGGAAGGGTATGCACAGTTTACAGTTGGGGGTTAGCTAATCAGCCTTTGAATAACTCTTACCCTATATTCAGACGGGGAGTCCCAGTTCCAAATGTGTCAGAAGCTTGGAAACTCTCACTAGGGCTGCCATATCAAATTGCAGCCTTGAGGTGAGATGCTTAACTCCATGTCTGGAGCATGCCTCAGCCAATGACTCATTGGGGAGATAATTTCCAGAAGTATACAAGGAGCCTGGATTAAGTACCCTGCAAGTCTGATAGGACATTTGGGTATCCAGTTTATTCCAGGCATTTGGCAAACTGATGTGTGATTCCTGATTGACCTTCATTTTTTCAAGTGGCAGGACCAATGCTTGTTTGGCCAAGGAGCAGGGAACCTTACTTTGAAATCCCTCTTACAGGGGATTGGCTGGCTCTGGAAAATCTTAAGCCGCCTTTTGCCTTGCCACTAGATCAAATTTGACCCAGGATGTTAAAAAACAACAAATGCCATCTAATGGCTGATTGGTTGGACTGGTGTCTAGTTGAAGAGGTGGCCAAATATGGGATGGACACCTAATTGGCCCTTTATTAATGTAGCGTTGGCTGAGGTACTGAATAGGTATGAAGGCTAAAGGGACAATATGTGAATGACGCTCACACTGTTGTTCTCTTTGCCGTGCATTTTGTATGGCTAGAGATTCAGACTTTGATGATTATTCTGGCAATCTTCATGAGAACTAATATACACTTTTAAAAATAAAATCTGTAATGCCTGTTGTATGAAGACTTAGGAACATCAGTTATTACACTAAAATTTAATGATTTTGAGTAAGGTCATTTCAGTTAATTGAAAATCTAATACTACATTTGGTTAGTGTAAGGGTTCTTTGGTTGGTTGGTTTTGTTTTGAAGGCCCTATCTTGTCATCTCCCTAAATGAGATTTATTGTGCTTTTCTTTCAGGAAATGTCCAACTCTGTCTTCTTGGTAATGGAGGTATGTGTTTGTGTATGTTTCTATTTAACTGGATTTGAATTAGTCTTCATCTACAAAAGTGCTATAAAAATGGATTGACTATGCAGATATAGCTGCAATATACTTTGGCCGGCTGAAATTTATAAATCTGAAAGCTGGATCATTAATTTCATATGCACTGTTAAAGACAACAATAATTGTATGTGTTCTATAAATTATGCAGTGTTTCTGTTCACAATACCATAATTCTTAATGGAATGTTTCCATTACACACCAGAATTAATAACTATGAATAATTAACAAAAATAATATTAAAGTCAAACAGATGCAAAAGATTTTCTAGATTTTATTAGGAAAAAACATATAAGAAATGAAAATTAACATATAATGAATGGAGTGAACATTCAGACATCTACATTTTGAGTACCAGCCTCTCCTTTCTTTTCAACAGTATTGCAATGGTGGAGACTTGGCAGATTACTTACAAGGTATTTGATTACCATGTTTCTGTGTTAGTATACTGTTATGCTAAACGTATTCTACAGTTGTAAAATTCATCATCAGTATTTCTTTTTTGCTTCTGATGTAAATATTTGTATATGTGTATTTGTGTAATATCTCTAATATAATTTCATAAATGTTGACACTGAATGTGGTCATTGAATGTCCTGCTTTTCAAATTTCACTGTTACAGTAAAGCAGCTAATGTTGAATATCTTAAGTGATTTCTGTTTTAAACAAACTCTAGATATGTTGCACCCAGTTTAATTAACTCAGTTTCCAAGTGTAAGGAGGTTCTTGTGCCTCGAGGAGGATTTAACGAGGCTATATTTTGGGGACTGATTTTCCTTTTTGGTCTATTTCTTAGCATTCAAGACTCCCCAGAACAGAAAGCAATGGGAAAAACTGTTACAATCCTGTATATAAGGGCAATACAATTTACTGTTTCTGGTTAAGTAACAGGATATTTAAGTTTATTTTGTGATGCCCAAGCACGTAGGAAATCAGAGATTTGAGCTCCTATATGGCTGAATTAGGAGAAAATGCTTTAAGATGGTGAAACTTACTATTAATGTTAGGTCAGGAGGTTATGTTTTTTTGGTTAGCAACATGGATCACTGTATAAACCCAACGAAATCCCATCAGTTGCTCCACTTTCTGATATAAAGTTACACGGCCTCCACTGTATAGTCTTTCCAGTGAAATTTCCCAATGAAATTAATAGTCAGCAGGTTTAAAACAAACAAAAGGAAGTACTTCTTCACAGAACACACAGTCAACCTGTGGAACTCATTGCCAGAGGATGTTGTGATGGCCAAAACTACCCTGTTTCCCCGAAAGTAAGACATCCCCCGAAAATAAGACCTACTTCCAGTTTTGCCTCTCGCTGTAATATAAGGCATCCCCCCGAAAATAAGACCTCCCCGATAATAAGGCCACCCCGGAATATAAGGCCCCGAAGCTCCAGGAAAAATAAGACCTCCCCTGAAAATAAGACCTAGCGCATCTTTGGGAGCAAAAATTAATATAAGACACTGTCTTATTTTCGGGGAAACAGGGTATAACAGGGTTCAAAAAAGAATTAGTTAAGTTCATGGACGATAGGTCTGTCAGTGGCTATTAGCCACGATGGTCAGGGATGTCCCTAGTCTGTTTGCCAGAAGCTGGAAATGAGCGACAGGGGATGGATCACTTGATGATTACCTGTTCTGTTCATTCCCTCTGGGGCACCTGGCACTGGCCACTGTCCGAAGACAGGATACTGGGCTAGATGGACCATTGATCTTAACCCAGTATGGCTGTATTTATGTTCAGTAGCTGTTCTTAAATCTAATGGAAGAAGTATTCCAACTACTATATTTGTTATGTTATAACACACCTCTCCAAGAATTTGGAAACCAAATTCTTATTTCTCCTTGCAGCTTCAGGTTTTGCATTTGTATAAAAGTTGTCCTTTAGCCATTATAAATGTTTCTTTTAATGCTAACTCTACCAAAAGCTAATAAAATAAGTGATCGATCTATAAGAGTTCTGTCCATGCACAGCTGGTCAAAGGCATGCCTTTGTCCTTATCCTGAAACAGTTGAATTTAAAACATTCCATTATTTGTAGAGCTGAAAGAAAAAAAGTTCTAATATAACACTTCAGTAACATGGTGCAAATTTTTGTCAGATTATATTCTAAATCTGAGTCTGTGGTGCTGCTGACCTTGTTTTGATTCTTCCCACTCCCTTTTCTAGGAATTGCCTCTAGAAATTTGCTGAATTACTTGGATAATGAGGCTTTGTGAAAAAAGGCACTTTTGTTTTACTAGGGAGAGATTTCACCCTCCTGCGTGCCTCTGCCCAGGGTGATGACGCAAGTTTCAGAATCATGACATGAGTTCATTTTTTAAAAACTTCTTTAAAAAAGTCTTCTCTTTGGGGAGAAATAAATAATCCTTCCCTGGAAAGTTACTTTTTTTTTTTTTTTTTTT